AAAAATAAAAAATGAAGTTTTATTTTTAAAAAAGCCACTTGGAAAAAAGTTTGAAAAATGTTGACAAGCTTTAGCTGGAATCCATTTCTTCTCTAACACGCCCGGTTCTCCTGCTTGAAGCATAGACATTAGACATGGAGAAAGACCTTCTCGTTTGCCTTTGTCCAGTGCAGTGCAGGGCCGGCTCCAGGCACCAGCTTACCAAGCAGGTGTTTGGGGCGGCCTCTCGGGAGAGAGGCAGCAGGTCCAGGTATTCGGTGGCAATTCGGCGGAGGGTCCCTCACTCCCGCTCGGAGCGAAGGACCTCCCGCCGAATTGCTGCCGATCGGGGCGGCAAAAACCCTGGAGCCGGCCCTGGTGCAGTGACAGATTCCATCCCTTCCTCACAAAGGGATCCCTCTGTACGGCACCGGTGAGAGTTGTGCTCCTGAGGTCCACCCCAAGCTTTCCTTTGCTCAGTGTCAGCTCCTTACCCCTCGCTGTGCCCCCGGGACAGGCTGGTGGGATGGTCTGGAACGTGTAGCAGTGCTGGCTACTGCTCAGAGCCCCAGCCCCTTGCAGCATTAGCGTGGATGGGTCGTTACAAACCATATTCCAGCCTGAATGACTTCATGCAACTGACCACACACTTTGAGCTAGAACAGCCCTACCGTGCAGGGGAAGCTGTTTCACCCACAGTGACATGGGGTCATTTAGTGGGACTGTAATAACCCAGTGTTGTACCTCCCGTACCCAGCAGAGTAATGCAGGGCTGGTGTCTCCTTTAGCTCGAGGCGAGTCCTTTGTGAAGAAGCACCGGAAGCAGCTCCGTCGTCGAATGGGAGTGATCTATCCCATCCTGGCGCGCTTACGGGACATAGGGGCAATGAACAGTGATGAAGAGGAGGAGGTGCTTAGTATGCAGAACAAACAAAAGGTGATGAACGAGGCCTTACTGCAGCTGGTTGAGCGGAAAGGAGCTCGGGCCCAAGAAGAACTCTACCAGAGTCTCAGAGAGACGGACCCTTACCTTGTACAGGACTTGGAACAATCCAGCTAGGGCCTGGAGATCCCGCTGACAGCCACCTGTGCTCCTGGCAGCTGCCCCGGCCAGTCTGGGGTGTGAACATATTCTTCCCTTTGTTACTTACGCAGCATCATAAAGCTGGTGTGATACGAGGAGCTTTTCATCACTGTGACCTTTAGGCCACCGCTACCTCTCGCTCTTCCTTGGTCTCTCAGCATTTCTTCTTGGGATCTACCTGCTCTCATCTTGTCCTACTGACAGTCTGGGGGAGCATGTCCTTCTGTCCTCTAGACAAAATAGGGGTCTTAGGCTCCTGGCCGTTAGTACCTTGTAGACCCCTTTGTGCAAGGTTTCTGCATGTTTTCTCCTCAGAGACTGAAGAAGGGGTTGCATCTTTCCAAACATACAGCCGATCTCTCAGTTAACCAAGCTTTATTTGGAATGAAAGAGAGGAACATTTTTAAATAAATCATTTTTTCTCATATCCAAATGTTTGCCTCAATTTTAGAAAAGTGTTTTTCCTGTTTCGTTGCAGAAAAGGAGGAAGACAAGGAAAGTTCTGACATGATCCAGCAGACAGATTAGCCTTCTGCCCATGTCCTGCCCCAGAGAACCTACGCTAGAGCTGACCTCCTTGGTCTGGCCCAGCACCCACCCTCCTGTGTGGGACCATCCCCATGCCTTTCAGAGCCTCACTCTTCAGTAGAACTGTAGCGGGTGGTCCCCCGCTCCTGCTGGGAAGGGCTGAAAACAGCCCTGGCAGAGGGCTGCAGCTGAGCTGATTGGGGAAGCAGCCACAGCTGGGCCATGCCCCATCAGGCCACAGCTGGCCTGTATAAAGAGGCTGTGAGCCAGAAGCCTCTCTCTGCCTTCAGAGGGAGAAGGGCCTGGCTGCAGGGAGCTAGACACAGGGTACTTGAGTGGAGCAGGACTGGGGAAAGGCTGAGGAGCTGGGGAGCTCCAGCCTGGATAGCCCCAGGCTGCAGCCTAGGAGAAGGCCAAGGGGTACTGGGGGTTGCAGAGGGCAGCCCAGGGCTAGGCCAAGGCAGCAGATCCAAACCCACCCTTGCCGATGATGAGTGGCCTATACTGCAGTCTGCCCCAGGGAGCAGGGGCTAGTTCGAGACTGGCAGTGGCCTTATCCTGAGGCGAGGTAGGGATAGTGGGTGGGGGATCCCCTGGGAGGGAAGAGCCTGAGAGAAAGGGGTTACTGCCAGGGGGCAGCACCCCAGCTAAAAGGGCACCGGGTCCAGGGGGGGACACGGGGGCCAGAGGACAGGCGGATCACCAGTCTGCAGATGGTGCTCCAGGATGCTGGAAGAGCTAATTCCCAGAAGAGACCAGCAGGAGGCGTCGCAGGGGTGAGTCTGCACCTCTACAAGAACAAACTGCCTTTTACCCACGGAGAGACTCTGTTTCCTATTTCACAGTCCTTCATCTCTGGAAAGATCCTGCTGGCTCCTCTCCAAACCCAGCCCATTCAGCTTGGAGGGGCAGGGCCGGCTTTAGAAAGAGCGGGGCCCGATTCCTGGGGGCGGGGCTTGCGGCAAGCCCCGCCCCCAGGAATCGGGCCGCGTTCCGGCCAGAGTCGCGGGGCTTGGGTCCGGCCTGGAGCCGACCTGCGGGGGCCGGAGCCGAGCCGAGCCGCGGAGGCGGGCCGGCCCCGAGCCAAGCCACGGGGGCTGGGCCGGGCCGGAGCTGAACCACGGGGGCCGGGCTAGGCCAGAGCCGAGCCGGGTCAGAGCCGCTGAGGCCGGGGGTGCTCGGCCGGGGCCGGGCCGGCGCACTCTGCCAGAACCGGGGCCAGAGTGAGCTGCTTGGCCAGGGCTGGACTGGGCCGCGCTGCGCCTCCCCGGAACCCTTCTCGCGCCCCTCGCCACCCTAGCTTACCTGGGGCTGCCAGCCTCCCTGCCCGCCCCTGCTTCTTTTCCGACTTCCCGCAAACCTCTGATTCGCGGGAAGCAGGGGCGGGGGAGGAGCAGGGGGCAGAGCGTGCAGGGGAGGGGAGGAGGGAGAAGTGAGCTGGGGGCGGGGTGGAGAGCTGCGGCACGGGGCCCTCTTAGAGCCGAATCGGTTGAATCGGCCTAAAGCCAGCCCTGCGGAGGGGTACTGGGCTAGGCCACTGGTGATGGTTGGGGCTATTGTGTGAGTGTTTTAATGGCCGCTTTGCTGCACCTTGATGGGTTTGTCCTGTGGCCTTTAAGGCCTGGCTGTCTCCCCCGGAGAGCTTTCACAGAGAACGTATCTCCCCCTCTTCTGTTTGGTTTACAGTAAGAAAATCATTCCTAGAATTAAGTTTAGCAGACTCTGTCCATCCTACATCTAACGTATAACCCCTGGCTGCTCCGTGGGGATACCCTCGCTCCGAGAAGCCCCACCTTGTAGAGGGCAGAGCTTTCTTGTCCTAGGGACTCCCGAGATAACCTGGTATCAATACTACACACCTGCGTTACCTTCTGTCACCGCTCTGGTTGGGCTGCCCCTTCCAGTCGCCCCCTGCTCTGCTGTGAGGGAATCCAAGCCTCTGTCCCTGAATCCCGGGTGTTTTAAGCCTCCAGAGCCTGAACGGAGTCCAGCCACTGCCCAGTCATGGGGTCCGTAGGCGCGCTGCTGCCGTGCAGATCTGCAGTCTAACGCGCCCTTCTCAGAACTGGAACCTGCTCTCCAGCTGCCTCGCCCCGGCCTCAGTGTTAACCCTTCAGACTCCCCAGTAAGGCAGGCTGGCCTAGGGCTTGCTTCACCTGGGGTCCCTGGGAGCTGGGGCTCTGCTGGGGGCAGAGAAGATCCCTAAATCTGGAGAAAGGGGACGGGGGGGCTCTGAGGAATCCACGGCTGGGTCTGTACATCTCTGCACAACGTGGGGCTCAGACATTATGGAGCATGAACCCACTGGGAACTCTGCAGCCGCTGGCGGGGCCCAGGGCACAATCTTTATTAGAGAGTTGAGTGGCAAGGTGAGTGCCCTGGACGTGTGTTGGGAGGACACTGGGGTGGATCTGAAGAGGAGGGTGTTAGAAAAAAAAATTTTCAACAACGATGTTGATAGGTTTAGACTGATATTCGCAGGCAAACAGCTGGAAGTTGCCAGGAGTCTGCGGCACCAAGGGCTGACCAGTCACTGCACTGTCATCCTGGTTCCTCGCTGTAAGTGCAGGGCGATGATGGGAGGGTCAGCAGGGAGGGGAGTGCGGGAGATGCGACTGGATGGGGTGGGCAGGAGAGTAGGTGATCGGGGAGAGGAGGGAGAAGCTGGGTGGTGTTGTCCTTACGAGGGGCTGGTGACGGCCTTTACCAAGGGGACGGATCGGCTGAACTGAAGGAAAGCACAACCAGGATCGCTGAATGAAGAGCCAATGGATTTTACTGCCCAGGGCGCATCTCCAGGGAATGTCTGAGCTTTAACAGCATCCAGATAATTCCCGCAGGGAGATCCCCAGTGAGACCCAGAGCAACTCAGGGGGCCAGGCAGGGCCGGGGTGATCCTACTGGCAATTGCTTACCCAGGAGACTTTATGTGGGTTCGTTCTTAGATTTGTTATTTTGCCAAATAAAAGCCACCCAGGCTGATGGGCTGCAACTGCTCTGTGTGGGTGGGGGTGGAAGAGAATGGCATTGGGGGGGAGGGGGCTGCAGGAAAGGGGAAGGGTCACTAGGCACCCTGCTCCTAGAGGTGGGGGGAGGCCATGTCTGGACAGCCCACACATGTATAAAAGAGCTGCCACCACGTGCACACATGGGGCAGAAGGGAAGGAGGAACCTGGGCCTTGCCTCATCTGCATGGAGGGAGGGGCGAGACTGGAAAGCCCCTCCCCAGCAGTCAGGGTGGGGGGCAGTAATGCAGGGTGCCCCATCCCGGCCGGGTGGGGGATGAGAAGGTGGTGGTGCCCCCTCTTAGCAGCAGGCAGGAAGGTGCAGCGGTGGGGCAGAGCTCGGCTCCCAGAAGCCAGGAGAGGAAGAAGGAGGAAAACCCCTCCTCCCACAGACCAGGAGTGGGTTCCTAGGGGTAGATTCCAAGGCCCGAAGGGACCATTGTGATCGTCTAGTGTCAGACCTCCAGTAGCACACAGGCTGTCGAACTGCCCCACAATAAAGCCTAGGGCGGAGCCTATAGAAACAGCCAACAGCCAATCTTGGGTTTAAAATGGCCAGTGATGGAGAATCCACCGCGACCCTTGGGAAATTGTTCCGACGGTTCATTACTCTCACCCTTGTAAATTTGTGCCTTCTTTCATTATCTGGACCAGCTAAGTTAAAAATATCTAATTTTGGTAGCTTCTGTTAAGATCCTCCCGAGATACTAGAGGTATATGATGAGACTATATTATCTGTTTATTCCCCAAATATGGAACAGAAATATTTATTGAACACTTCTGCCTTTTCTCCATTATTACTGATCATGCTACCATGTCCCTCTTGTAATGGACCAATACCATTGTCAGGATTCTTTTTCTTTTTAATGTATCTCTGCCATAGATGTTGCCGTGTGTCCTTTTTCTTCCCTTAAGAATTTTCTACAATTCCTAACCTCTGATTTATATTCATTACTATCAGCTTTCCCTTTCTTCTGTTTGTTGTGTATTATTTTTTATTTTGAATAGCTGCCTTCACATCCCTCTAAAGCAGGTTGGTTTTTTTAAACCAGTACGGCCTTCTTTCTAAACTGTGCCTTTTTGGGCATCTAGTAAGGTGCTCTTAAATGATTCCCAATTATCATTCACATTTTTCTGATTAAATTCTTCCTCCCAGCTGATTTCTCTCGTAATTGTTTTCAGCTTTGTGAAATTGGCCCTATTAAAGCAGCAAGGATATATATTACCTGTCTGGACTTTGCTTTCACATTATAAACGTGATCAGATCGTGATCACTTGCATAAGGAGACGGTGGGATCGAAGTTCCAGCTAGGAGGGGTGGGGTTTGTTCACTAGTGGGAGGAGCTTAGGTACTGTTTTCACATCTAACAGGCAGCAGCCGACCCCATAGTCTTTCTATCCGGTCAGAGAGCAGCAAGTCTGCAGATTAATAATTTTATGGGCCTCACCCTGCTGCCCCAGCAGGCTAGAAATAGCAGAGCCCCAGCACCATTCAGTGGGGAAGAGGGACACAGCCATCTGGGATAAAAGGCTTCTTTCTAAAGGCGCTGAGAGCAGGACTGGGACAGTGGGGAAAAGGTGGGAGAGGGATACTTCTCCGCAGGGGTTGAGGGTCCTGATCTCACTCTCCGATGTTTGTTTTGCAGTGTCCGGTGGTGGTGATATAAGCTCCCTTCCTCCAGGTAAGAAAAGCTGCCGTTTTTTCCCACTTGAAATGTTTTCCCTTTAAAACAGGGGAGAGAGCAACAGGCTGGATCCTGGGTCTGCAGGGACAGATCGAGGAAGGCTGGCTATGCTCTAGGGGACTGAATACAAAGTTAAGAGTCAAAAAATGGGCTCTCTTCCCCCACTCTGCCACTGATTTGCAGTATGGCCTTAGGTGTGTCACTGCCTC